GGGACAGCACACTGAAACACGGGTGACGGTGGCATGGATAGACATGGATGTGATGAGTTGGAATGAGGGAGGATTGGGAAGAAGGAATGATGCACGAGGAGCAGCACTGAATTGTGGAAGAGTAATGGACAAGGCATTTAGTCCAGTTCTGCCATTTCCTGGCAGCAATCTGTCATTTCCTCTCTCTGAGGCTCAGTGTCATTTGCAAAATGAATACTATTATTTGCCTTATCTACCTGCCTCACTAGTGGTGATGGATTAATGTGTGTAAATAAAGCTTAAAACTGCTATAAGCTTTACAAATGCAGCTAAAATAATGATAATAACATAACCTTATAAATCATGTCTCTGATTTTACAAAATGAGCTTCTTTAAATAGTTCATGGTTTCAATATTTTGCTGTTGTAGAAGAACTCAGGCATAGGGAGGTCACTAGGATTATTTTTTTTTACAAAGAGTACCCCCCACAGAATTCATGTCCCAGAAGTGGAATACTGGCCTTTCACGTGAGCTCCCTGAGCAATTTATGTGAATCCTCTGGGTCTAAATTTAAAAATGAGTTTGAAAGCAGGGTCTCAAAAGGAGATTTATATGTCCATGTTCACAGCAGCATTATTCAAAATAGTTAAAATGTAGAAGTAACCCAAGTGTCCAACACAGAGGAATGGATAAGAAAAGTGTATCTACATACAATGGAATATTATTCAACCATAAAAAGGAAGGACATTCTGACACATGCTATAATACGGGTGAAACCTCAAGGACATTATGCTGAATGTAATAAGGCAGGCACAAAAAGACAAGTACTGAATGGCTCCACATATATGTCTTAAAGTAATCAAAATCACAGAGACCAAAAGTAGAATGGTGGTTGCAAAGGGGGCTGGAGGGAAGGGGCAGAGATAGTTACTGTTTAATGAATATGGAGTTTCAGCCTGAGATGATGAAAAACGTTCTGGAGATGGATGGTGGTGATGGTTGCCCAAAAATGTGAATGTACTTAATGCCACTGAAATGTACACTTAGAAATGGTTAAGTAGTAAATGATCAGTTTTATGCTATGTGTATTTTACCACAATAAAATATTGAAAAAAGGGGGGGGCAGTAAGGGGAATAGATCATTGTGCACCATGTTGGTGGGGCTTAGTGGGGGTAATGGGATGTATTGCGGTGTACTGTCCGAGAGGCAAAGACACAGAGAGCCCTGGGACATGCTTAAAAAGGGGCAATCTTGGGGGTTCACTAGAGCCATTCTTGACTCCAGGCAGGTGACATCTAATCATCTAGAAGAAGAATTGGCTCTTCTCTTAAGTATCCAGACATGTGGTTGCAATTACCCTTGAGAGGCCTTCCTAGCGTTTTCCACTCTGACAATCGAGATCTGCACCTGATGCATAGCTGTGGTGATTTCATGACTATTGCTGCTGCTGCTACTATTAATAATAGTAATAATGGCAGATAATATTTATTAAGCATTTTAGTCTAACTCCATGTGAGAATTAAAATTATTGCTCCCATTTCAAAGATGAGAAAAGACTTAACATGTATGGAATGTACGTGTTCTGTTTATGGTCACCTATTTTACGGATTGAGATCATGGTATAGATATAATTTTTATTCTGCTTTTTCACTTAATATCACACATTGAGACACCTCCCATATCTTTTCAAGGTGAAATATATAATTTTTAGTGACCTTTAATTTTCTTTCATGGACCCAGCATAATTAATTTTCTGCCTCTTAATTCGTGGCACTTATGTTTGTTTTTAATATTTTGCTCTCACAAATAATATCATGATAGAAAACTCTGAACTGATTTTTGATATGCTTTTCGTTTACATACTAAGCATAGATTCTTGGGTCCAAAAGTATGACATTTTTTAAATTACGGATACGTTTTGCCAAAATTCTTAATAACGGCTCAGCATTTTCCTCATAAAGTCCTTCATTTGGCATTGTGATTAAATGACACTTTTCTCATCCTCCAGGTTAAACCGGCCCAACTCAGAAATCCCTCTTGTTGGCACTACTAGAAAGGGTCAAGGGGTTGAAATTAATGAGTACTTGTATATCACTGTTTTCTCATTCCCTTACTTTCTCAATTCCTCTCTTCCTAGCATTGCAGTGCCAGGATCTTCCAGCCCCAGACAAGGCCCGGATGAACTGCTCCCATCCCTTTGGTGCCTTTAGGTACCAGTCAACCTGCAGCTTCACCTGTGACAATGGCTTCTTGCTGGTGGGAGCAAGTGTGCTGCAATGCTTGGATACTGGGGACTGGAGTGATCCTTCTCCGGAATGCCAAGGTAAGATTCTTTCCAGCATCTCAAAAATACGTTGTAGGCTTATTGTAAAAAGCCATATTTTAGAGGTGGTAACTGTCTAGGGGACAGAAACTTGAAATGGACTGGAAAATTAATAAACACTTCCATCACATAACCCAGGGATCCCAAATGCAGATGCCTTTGGGGGCTAGGCAGACACCACAAGTGACAGGAAGTTTTGCAACAGGTCATGGGGAGTGGCCCCCTGCAACTCTGTATCTGCCTTCACCAGGACCTGAAAGCTCCTGTCATGAACCAGGAGAACTGTACTCACTTGCCTAAAAATAGTACCTGGAAAGAAGACCAGAGGAAAAAGTAGCCTCAGGATGGCTGTCCCAAGGCTGACTGGGCACTTTCCTCCTAGGAAACATGGCGTATAATTCTGGAATAGGGGGCAACTGATGGGTTGAACAGTGGAATGGGAGGGGCAGAATTTACAAGTGCCTGGTTGCAAACATCCTCCAAGGTCTGTGTAAGATTGGAGAAGTATAAAGTGAAGACTGATGAAAAGAGGAAAAACTAATCTATACATGCAAGGTTGCAGGGTCCTCAGAAGAGAAAAAAGTGCATATTCAACATAAGTCTGTATATCTGCCTTGTGCTTGACATAAGATAAAGCAGTTATTGTATGAAATAGAACTGAGTCTAATCATCTGCGTTTGCCAATCTTAGGACAGGTGCATACTATTTATACTCCCCACTCTTTTTTCTACTCAATGTATCCAATTATTTACTTATATTTATGGCAAATACTGCTTTTTAAAAATAAGATTTTTATTTATAAAAGCTACAGGAAAATAAGAAAATAGAAACAAAATATTTTCTTAAGTACCTCCCCTAAAATGCCCCACCCTAAAAAGATACTGGTTATGTTTTTACATTTCTGTATGAATTCTTCCAGTATTTTCCCTATCCACTCTTTACTTCACGCAAATGGTATTTTTATGTGCATATATATATATACAATTTTAATAATAAAATGAAATAGGTAGAATACAAGGCAATTCTGCATTGTTTGCCTTTGCATTTCTCTTTGTACAGACTTCCAACGTCTGAGTGAAAGCAGGCAAACCCATGTTTCTAATAAAAAGTAAGCCATTGGCTATTCAGGTCACACATACCCATGCACACACACACGGACACCACTGTTAAGTTAGGTCAACAGGGAATGAATGAATGAATGAATGAACCAATGAACAAATTCAACAGAATTTCATGTCCTCTATCCTCAGGCAGCAGAAAGCACGGCAAGCCACTGGGGCTGGGGCTGGGCACACCTTCTGAGCTGGGTCTGCAGAGACCCGGGTGAGGCTTTTGACCTTGGCCCCTCAGCTCTCACCCTGGCTACACTGAAGCCCAGATATATTGCAAAGTCTACACAGCTCTGGGGAAGAACTTGGGAGCCCTGGGGAGGGTGTTACAGTGATGGGACCCCTTCTGGGTAACCTTGGGCTGTGCAGGGCACAGATTGCAGTTCATTGCCCCATACTGCCCTGCCTGCTGGGTGTGTCACAACAGGGAGGCTATCACTCACCACGGCTTCCTGTGACCTTCCAGTTCCCTTCCGCTTTTGGTTCTTTGTTTACTGTGACTGAACTTTCTCCTCCTGCTGTTGGGTGAGCATCAAGTGAAATACCCAAATGTGGTCTGGGCAGGAAGGTACCACGAGACTTGCAATCCACTAGCTGTTGTAACACTTCTGAGAGAGAGCGATCAGACATTTTTCCTTTTCAGTGTCCCACTTGCCCCTGTATCCCCAGCCCAGCCATCAGAAGGCAAGGCCACAGAAGAGCTGCAAATGGGCTCCAGGGCTCCAACACCCTCCTGATTTGTCCTTACAGTTTATAGGCTCCTCGGCTTGTGTCCTTTCCCTGGCCCACCACACACACACACACACACACACACACACACACACACACACATACATGCACTAATACAGAAAGACCCAAGTGGTAGAAAATAACTAGGTCTTTGGACAAACTGATGAGATTAGGGAGAATGAAGCTGGAGAGGGGAAGGGATGAAGGGAATAGAAAGGTATACAACATGCTCTTGAAACCTCAAGCAGTTCAAATCTGTGGCCAAAAAACAGCCCTCAGTTTATCCATACCACCACCATCTCTGATCTAAAGCCACATACTACTCAGTCAGGCTAAACAGTGAAGAAGAAACACCCTAAACCATCCACGTGTTCTCTTAGTCTTCATTTTTTTATTATTATTATTTTTTAAATGGAGGTACTGGGGATTGAACCTGGGACCTTGTGCATGCTAAGTATGCACTCTACCACTGAGCTATACCCCTCACCCCAGTCTTCATTTTTTAATGTCAACATGTTTAACCTAGTTTTATTTCATTAACTGGCAGAGGGATATCTTGACAGCTATTAACATTTGCTTACAGAGTGTTTTCACTTTTGAGCCTTGTAAAAATCCTAGGAGCTCTGTAATGCTATTCTCCATATTTTAAAGATAATGCTATCGAGATTCAGAGAGGTTAAGTGACTTGCCAAAAGTCACAGAGCATGATCTCCAACCAAATCAAATCCTCTAGCACCACAAACTCTACATGTACAAACTGTGACAAAGAACCATGAGGTCTCATTTACCTCTTTCATAAGTGAACAACTTGGGGCTGGTCACTGTACCACTGCAGGAAGAACATCTGCATTGCAAGTGGCCAATTACATTGTGTCCCTACTTTGTGTCAGGATTTTAAAAATATTTTTAAATTTAATTTTTACATGTGATTCAGTTAACTTATTTTATGTAACTGAGGATCTCTGCAAGGCAAGGATTATTATTTTTCCCATTTCATAGATGAAGCAACTGAGGTTCAGAAAGCTTATTGTCCAGAGATGATACATTGCAAGTAAGTAACAGAGGCAGGATTTGGACCCGGATTCTTTCTATCACTTGGTTGGGAGAAGGAGCTTTTGGAGGGAGAGAAAGTATTTCACTCCAGGTCCCTATTTCCAATCATTTGTCATTGTTTTCTGGCAAGGTCCTTAGGTCTGGCTCTGAAGAAGGAATCCAGGAAGTAGCCATTCCCACTCCTGTTCAGGGCAACTGACATGAGCCACATCACTACCTTTCCTAACTGAGCACCAGCTCCCCTTTAAATCACCTCTAAAGCTCTTTGTGGGTGAGCGTTTCAGGATGCCAGTCCACTGTACGCTGCTGCTATGTTACACAGCCACGACCTCTAACTAATGATAGAGCACTATGAAAATCAAACAATCATTTCTAACCAAATATTGCCCTTGTGTGTTAAGGACACACACACACACACACATACACACACAATCATTTCAGGTTGCTGTGTTCTAAAACAATCTCCTCTCTCCTCCTCTGCCATGCCCATGGTAGCCATTACCTGCACACCTCTGCTAAGCCCTCAGAATGGAACAAAGACCTGCATCCAACCTCTTGGAGATTCCAGTTACAGATCCACATGCCACTTCATCTGTGATGAGGGATTCTCCTTATCTGGGCCAGAAAGATTGGATTGCACCCCATCCGGACACTGGACAGGTTCCCCACCAACGTGTGAAGGTAGGATCATGGGTCTGTCCTTTCTTATGGCTTCTCAGATAACATTAAAGAATGGAGGACCATCAGGGATTCATGTAAAACTTCTTAACCTAAAGAGAGCTTTCTCCACAAAGTATAATAATCTAGATCAACATCTCTGTCTCTCTCTCTCTGAATATTCTTATAACAATAACTTCAAACATTTCACAGTTGTGTAACATGTTTGAGTGTCATCTGATGTTTACCACAATTCTGGAATAATGAGGAAAGGCAGTATCATCTCCCTTTTATAGACGAGAAAATAGAGTTTCAGAGAGATTAAGTAACTTGTGGAAATTCACGCTGTCAGTAAGTGACGAAGCTCAGCTATGTTGCTGGGACTTTTACTTCGTTGTAAAGAATTTCTCTACTGTGCTCTTACTCATTCATTCCTCCACTCACCCTCGCTGAGCACTACCAAGCCCCAGACACTGAGCTCATTCAAGGATGGATGTGATTTCGTCCCAGCCCCTCCAGGATCTCACAGTCTAACTGTTTATGTGCGACTCTCCTTGCTCCCCTTCTGTATGGATTATGAGCTCCTTGAGGGTGGGACTGTGTTTTCTTCATCTCTGCATTTCCTGCAGCAACTAGACAGAATAAAAAGTGGGGGTGTGACAAGTATCTGTTGACTTGAAGCTTATCATTTACCAATTAAATTTTCTCATGCTCAAGCCCTCTTGACAAGGAATTAGCAGGCCCCTCAAAAACAGGGGCCAGATCTTATCTGCCTGTGAGTCCCCTAAAACATCTGTCTGATAGTATCTAAAATAGAGGTGTACAGGAGTGATTAATTTATAGCTCATGTCTACTTTCAAAAGTCACCATTGTTCTAACTTACTGTTCCATGTCCTGCACTCAGTAAAAATAAAGCCAGCAACAATAGCTAATATTTATTGCTTGTGTAAGTACCAACTATTTCATATGCATCTTTGCATTCGATCCATACAACAATCTTTAACATGGTTATTACTGTCCCCGTTTTAAAGATGAAGAAACAGATGCTTTGAGACGATAAATAGCTGGCAAAGATCAAATAGCTAGGAAGTATGGAGTTAGGATTCAAACCCAGGTGTCACTGGAGTCTGGCTAGTGCTTTTATCACTGCACTACACTGCCACCCAGTGGCGGGTTTCTGAATCCCGGGTCAGTCGCTTGTAATTTGACTCTCTTCCCCTGCGCTTTTCTAGTTGCAGCTGTAACCTGCAAAGTGAACTTTAGAGAAGGCAGTGCCTGGTGATCAAATGAGAGGATATGTTGATAGAAATATATCAGTGTTATATGAAAAGAGCGAAACACTTATTCCTTCCAGTGGAATGAGCACTAGATTAATATCCAAAAACCTGTGTTGCTCTTCCCCGAAGTCACATGTCATGTAGATCATGTTCACATCCCTGATTTTCCCAGTTCCCAAAGGGGAAGAGTGAGCAAGATCAGCTCTGAGGTCTCTTCCCTGGACAAGAATTCTGTAGGTTAAAGGACATAAAATGCTATTATCTGCCGTCAAAAAGATATACTACAAGCCACCTGAGCGATCTAGAACATTTACAGCTGATATCATTAGGGTTTGTGTTTCATCACTTATTTCTCAATCACTCATTCATGTATTCGGTGGACATTTATCACGAGCTCTGGTTTTCCACATTCAGTTTCAAGGCTAAATAATAAAACAATCCCTAAGAAGTATCTCACTGAAGTTTTAAATCACATATGCAACCAACATGGTTGTTAACTCTGTAATCTCTGAAGCCCCTGCTCGCCTCACTCCTTTCTAGACCCCCTTTTCAACAAGAGGCAGCAGTTGCCCCCCACCCTGCAGGTATAGCTGCAGTCAGTGTCTAGAACCAACCTTGCCCCTGGGCAGCAGCTGAAGTCAACCATGGGCCTTGGAACCGTCAACCTCGTCTGAGCCTGATCATCAGCTCTGGATCTGCACCTGTGTTTCTACCGCATTCTCCAAATTTACTCTCTATATTTAGCCAAATAGTTTCTCTTCTTTTCCCACACACCAGAGTCTGAATTTTTAACCCTTCAGAACCCTGATTTTCACATGGTGTTTTGCAGAGTCTGAGGCTACATCAGAGGGGCTTGAGGGCCACCAAGTAAGCAGGGGTGGTGGGGCAGGTGGAACACTCAGTCTCCACTTCACAGTGCAATGTGAGGTTCCATCTTTTGAGTGGTTCCATAGACCATTCCTTTTTAGTTAGAATGTCAGTTCCTTGTCTAGGACTTGATCTCTGCCTGTATTTCCCAGTCTCCTCCCTGCCTTTGCCCTCCAGGACCTGAATCCATTTCCCTGAACCTAAGTGGTGCTGAATTGCTTGTCTCTGGTTGCTGTGTCCCTCCTGTCCCCGCCTGTTGGGACACTATCCTGATGCAGATTACTGATCTCCCATTCACTTTGTCATTGACACTCTGGAGACCCAACTCCTAATGGCCAACCTCACCTTGGTGGGGAGAGGTGGGTCCTGGCACCAAGTCCCAATCCTAGCCCTGCCCTTCTGCCATGTCCCTACTCATCCAAGTTCTAAAATATAGCAAATGTGTGCCCTCGAAGCCCTGGCCTGGCTCACATCTATAGTTTACTTCTCCATTCCTCTGATTCCATGAAGACTCCTAGTCTTTATTTTTATCATTTGAGTTCAGACCAGCCGACTCATTTAAATTGATTATTTATACTATATCTTTGCAAAAAAAATCTTGATAAAATTATATCCAACTCAAGTAAAAAGAGATTATACAAAAGAACAGAGGCGAATCAGCTAAATAGGTTGTAAGTTGATAACTGAGTGTCAGTGAATCCAGTAACTTACGAATTCACATGCAATCATGCACATCTACTTCATGGGTCACAGAAAAACATCCCTGAAGACCTTTCCAGTGGACAGCACTGCCTTGAAGTCCATGAAAATGAAGCATTAAGTATGGTGATAGAAACAACCCTTATCCAACTTCTGTTCTTTTTGGAGTGACTCAGTTTTTTGGCAAAGTTTTAGAGTAGGCTCAAGAGTATGACGACTTTCTAAAGTTACCCACAGATGTGATTCCTTGGTAAAAATCTCTTCCTCTACATCTGCACTTGGCCATTCCACTCCAGCAGCTCCCTTGGTATCACCTACGAATTTAATTCAGCCCATGGTTGCTGGGTGCCCACCATTCACCAGATCTGGGTTAGGTTTCCATATACCTCACCACACTGCCCTTCAGACAGGAAAACATGGTTCCCTATGTGAGTTAGTCAAGGCCTTGTTGGGGGCCTATGATGGGACAAGGTTAGTGTTTACAGAAGAGGATTCAGAGCCTTTCATAGATAACAAAAGGCTGTATCTATAACCCTGGCAGAACAAGACTGACGAAATTGAGACCAAAGCAATATCCCCAAGTGCATTTAATGCTGTAGTAATTCTCTGTGTATACTAGGGGTCACTTAACTCAGTCTTTTAAAATAGTAATGCCTCTTGTTTCTTTTCAGACCATGTAAAAACACTTGTTAGAACACATCCAAATTAAATTGTGCTCACTGACTTATTCATTCATTTGACAAATATTTTCAGACCCCCCTCCTTGCTGCCAGGCCCTGTTGCCTGGGATACAGTGTTGAAAAGAGCTGACAAGGTCCCTGCTCTCATGTGGTTGACATTATGTATTTTCTTGGGTTTAAATATGAAATTCTGGGAGATTCTGAAAAAGTTATTTTAGTGAAAATGTTCACTGATGATTTAATGTCTATGACTTACACCAATAGGTATACTTCATAAATGTTTGATAAATGGAGTTTATCTGCCAGATCCATGGATTTATTAATTATTCAAAAAGTTGAGCATTTCAAACTGAAATTCAGTATGTTAACTGGGCTATTTGTATGGATTCATACACTAAGGACCCACAATTGACTGATGAGCAGTGGGGAGGGTATAGCTCAAGTGGTAGAGCACATGCCTAGCATGCCTGAGGTCCTGGGTTTAATCCCCAGTACCTCCACTGAAAAATCAAATAAGTAAGTAAACCTAATTACCTACTCCCTGCAAAAAAAAAAAAAAAAAAAAAAAAAAGGAAAAAGAAACTAAAAGAAAAAAGTTTTAAAAACAAAAACAAATAAAACAGGTGGGCAAGTATATAAAAGCCAATATGTATCACTTTTCCATGAGGCATCACATAGGACTTCAAGAGGTTTTTTTTTTAAAAAAAAAAGGAAAATAGCTAAGCAAAATGAGCCTTACCCAATTAAAGCATTGCTTTGAGATAGCCTTGGATTTAAAGAAAGAATAGTCACTCAGTTTGTCAATAACCCAGCATTTGTTGATAAATAACAGACTATGTCAGAGAATTTAATGGTGAGAAAGACAGGATCCTAAGAGAAATACATAATGGCAATAATTTATAGAAACCGTTTTTGAGGGAAATGGTAAATTAAAAATTCATTTCCTCATCCACTTGGCAAGAGCACCACCTCTTGAGATCCTGCAGTGTGAACTGTGGGAGACACAAAGATTTCTGGTTCTTGGGTTTTAGGAGCTCCCCATCCAGCAGGAGAGGGAAGAGATGACATGAGATATGACAGCATCTGAGTTCAAGCGAAAAAATGGATGCCTTCAGGGGAGGGGACTTCAGGCTGCAGAGAGTCTGGAGAAGCTGTGTTCAGTTGGATCCTAGAGGGCAGGTGGGATTTTATTCAGTGAAAATAGAAAGAACTTTAGAGCAGTGTGAGCCAGGAACCAGAGGCAACAATACATGAGGTCAGTTCAGGGAATTCCTGGGGACTAATCTAGCTTGACCAGGAGGTTTTGAGGTTTCCTATGCTACAAAATCGTGGTTAAAAAAACCAAACAACAACAACAAAAAAAAAAGTGGGGATCTAAATGGAGGAAATAGTATTCTAGGACAGAAGATGATCGTCACAGTTTTAGATGTGTTGGGTTGAATTTGCAGGGACACCAGGATACTATAGAAAGAAGTCTCAGGCAAGAGGAAAGGCCAAAAATGAAATCCTGGGCTGCATTTATACAGAGAGGACAGTGAGAGTCAGGGGTGGCTGCGAGATCTCTGAAGCAGCGGGTGTGGAGGGAAGAGGATGAAACTGTGAATTCCTGAGTGTGACTTCTACCTACACTCCTCTCTGCAAGCCCACCATCCCTCCCCCTGCCCTGGTACTTAACCACCTGTTGTGTTTGTTGGGAAATGCTGGCGACCTAGCAAAACACCAGACTTAGTGGGAGCGCCATCAGGATTTGTTGAGTACGTGAATGAACAAATCTGGTGCAAAACCAAGCTTCCACATCAACTTGGAGATCGTGACATTCTTGATTTGATTCTCCAGCCATCAAGTGCCCAGAACTGTTTGCCCCAGAGCGCGGAAGCCTGGATTGTTCTGACACTCGGGGAGAATTCATCGTTGGCTCCACCTGCCATTTCTCCTGTAACAAGGGCTTTCGGCTGGAGGGGTCCGACCACGTGGAATGCACAGCTTCTGGCAGATGGACAGCCCCTCCACCGACCTGTGAAGGTAAAGTAGGATATCCTCACTGAGACAGCTCTTTTTCTGGAAATTCCTTCAACAAAAATAACACACACTTACATACACTCTTCTGATGGGACAGGCACATGTTATATTATTATCCTTGTGAGAGCTCCACTTCTTGTCATTAAATGGGTTATCTATTGGGGTCTAGGAAACATAGCATATGAGTCAAAAATTTATAAGGAGTGAAAGGACTTTTTCACACTTGTGGATAAAAGATACACTGATCCTTAGGCACACATTTTCTTTACTCATTTTGGCCTCTTTTTCTCAAAGAGCTTTATTGAGTTGATTGAATGGTCTCCGTTGCTTCACTGCCAGGGTGCAGTCACTGGTCCAGTCTTTCAAATCAAGGAACTGAGGCTTAGAGAAGTCAATTGTCATCTTTCTGCCACATGGCAGGTTAGTGACAAAGCCAGTGGCATCATTCACACCTCGTATTTCATGCCGACTTTTGGCCAGAGGACAATGCCACCTCTTAATGAGGCAGCAATGGGCAATCAATTGGCCTGTGCATATTTTGCTTTATATGGATTCTTACGTTCCTGCACCAATTATTCTGGTTTTGTTTTCAACATCTGTAACATTGATGTCCCCCCTCTCCCAATTTCTTCTGGCCAGGAGAATCATCTCTCTGAGGACAGTTTTAAATCACTGTTTTTGCCTGGTTTTCCACACCTGAGATGAATGGTTTTCCTTAAGTTCCTTAAGGAGCTATTGCTAGAGCCTCTCTGGTTATGAAAGGAGTGCAAATTGGTTATTCCATGTCAGTCTTAACTCTGTTATGCTCTTTTTAATGGGAGGCTCTCTAAATTGCAACATTTTCTCAAAACAGACATAGTAGCAGCTTCTAATCTGGAGGTGCAATGTCCAGCCCTCATCCCTCCAGAGAAGGGAAGAATGTCCTGCCAGCATCACCTGGGAAACTTTGGTTTAAATACCACTTGTCACTTTGGATGCAAAGCTGGATTCACACTCATGGGAGACAGTGCTCTCAGATGCAGACCTTCTGGACAATGGACAGCAGCAGCGCCAGCATGCAGAGGTAATGTGAAAAGAAGCAGGCAGTCCTGATGCTATCTTCTAGCAAGTTAGTCATTGTGTGTGCCTGTCGAAATTGCATTCAACCCCAAGGACCACTTCTGGCCTCCGCTTCTCCATGAAACTCACATCAATTCCAATTAGAAGGGATGTATAGCAGGCGTACCGCTTGTCCCCTTCCTTATGTCACAAGCTAATGGCCTGGTACTCAAAGACCTAAAGGAGGAAACATTTGTAACTGTCCAAAATGTGTTAGAACAATAAGCTTGCTGAACACGAAACCAGCTACATGAAATGTGAAATACAAGTTGCGATTCTGTTAATGATGCAACAGTGTAGACATCTCATATTTTCATAATTGGAACCTAAATAAAAAGAGAAAGCATGTATGATACCTCTTGAAGACCTGTCGCCCTACGCATGAAGCACGATGTCTCTTCGATCATTGTGTTCCCTGTGAAACACAGTACAGCGCTTTGCAAATGGCATTATGACTCAATAACATTTATTTGGGCTAAATTCAGATTTCCGAGTTGAGTTAAATTTGAGTAAAATTTAGTTCCCTATCCACAAATTTGGGGGAACAACCTGAAATTCTCTGAAAAATAGTTTAAAGAGAGTGGCAGTCTCTACTTCTTTCAAACTTTCAGAGGCCAGCTGCGCTGAACACTTATTACTTTAGAAAACATGTGTTCACATGACAGCTAACTGCCAATGGTAGTAATGATAACATTTAGAACAACAGTATTTTTAAGGAGTAAAATTTTGTTTTTTAATATTTTTTCTTTTTTAGTATTTTTTTTGTTGGAGGGGAGGTAATTAGGTTTATTTATTTACTTATTTTAAGAGGAGGTACTGGGGATTGAACCCAGGACCTCAGGCATAGCTAAACATGCTCTCTACCACTGAGCTATACCCTCCCACCCTGAAAGGCAGGGATTTATTGAATGTTACTATGTGCCCATCCTCATCTACTGGCAATCCTAGCCCGGTTTCACATGAAATCATAATCTCTTTACTTTCATTCTATGTTTGTTATTCATGCATTCTTTTTTTCTGCAGCTGTCAAATGCTCCGAGCTACACATTATTGAGCCAATAGTGATGAACTGCTCCAGCCCCTGGGGGAAGTTCAGCTACGGATCAACCTGCAGCTTCTATTGTCCAGAGGGTCAATCACTTAATGGCTCAGAGAGAGCAGCCTGCCAAGAGAACGGCTGGTGGTCGACTTCTGTGCCAACCTGCCAAGGTATATTTCTCAGATGGGTTAGGAAGTCACTTTGATATGGGAAATAATGAAATCAGAGTTTCTTCTCTGTGTATTTTTGACAGTGGTCTCATTTTCCATCACTGGGTTTCCCCTGCGTTTAATAAGTGCTTCACAATGACTCAAACGGAAGCTCCTTGCCTTATGCAGAGCAGTGGGAATCAAATTCAGTGACTCTGTTGACAATCACCATTCCTTTTTCAAAGCTCCAGTTTGTGAAATGAATCCTCTCATTTCTTTACAATCTGTGTGTGTTACAGCTTGAAGTTTCAAAATGTTTTAAACTGGAGGTGATTTAAGGCAGACTCCTAATTTATTATCT